GCCGTGCCATGCCGAGCCGGGCCGTGCCGGGCCGTGCCGGGCGGTGCCGTGCCGGGCGGTTCTGGGCCGTGCCGAGCCGTGCCGTGCCATGCCGAGCCGGGCTGTGCCGGGCTGTGCCGTGCCGGGCGCCGAGGGCGAGCCCGGGGCCCGCCGGCAGCACCCCAAAGGGCACCGAGAGAATTCCCAGAAAATTCCCAGAGAATTCCCAGAGAATTCCCAGAGAGTTCCCAAAGGGCGCCAAGAGAATTCTCAGAGAGTTCCCAAAGGACACCGAGAGAATTCCCAGAAAATTCCCAGAGAATTCCCAGAGAATTCCCAGAGAGTGCCCAAAGGGCACCGAGAGAATTCCCAGAGATTTCCCAGAGAGTTCCCAGAGAGCTCCCAAAGGGCTCCCAGAGAATTCCCAGAGAATTCCCAAAGAGTTCCCAAAAAGCTCCCAGAGAGTTCCCAGAGAGTTCCTGAAATGATCCCAAAGGGCTCCCAAAGGGCTCCCAGAGAATTCCCAAAGAGTTCCCAGAGAGTTCCCAGAAGCTCCCAGAGAGTTCCTGAAATGATCCCAAAGAGCTCCCAGAGAATTCCCAGAGAGCTCCCAAGGAACGCCCAGAAAACTCCCAAAAAGCTCCTGAAAAGCTCCCGGAAAACTCCCGGAAAACTCCCAAAAAACTCCCAAAAAACTCCCAAAAAGCCCCAGATCTGCCCAAGCCATGAAGTCAGCGGGGCCGGGATCTGGGGCTGGGATTTCGGGATTTGGGGATTTGGGGATTTGGGGCCGGGATTTGGGGCCGGGATTTCGGGATTTGGGGCCGGGATTTCCGGATTTGGGGATTTGGGGCCGGGATCTGGGGCTGGGATTTGGGGATTTGGGGCCGGGATTTCCGGATTTGGGGATTTGGGGCCGGGATTCGGGGCCGGGATTTCGGGATTTGGGGATCTGGGGCCGGGATCTGGGGCCGGGATTTGGGGCTGGGATTTCGGGATTTGGGGATTTGGGGCCGGGATCCGGAGCCGGGATTTCGGGATTTGGAGCAGGAGGAGGAGGAGGAGGAGGAGCGGAGGAAGGAGCAGCGCCGGCCCGGCGCCGCTCCCACCACGGCGGGGTGCGGGGGGAGATCTGGAAATGACCCCAAATCCCCATTTCTGACCCCAGAAATCCCCATT